CGCAAACTGAGATCTAGACTATCCAGTTATATCAATTATTTCACTTGTTCATTGAAATTATTGTGCATTATGCAGTTTGAGTACATCTCAAAGTCAAAGCAATTTATAATCACTACGGTCCTATTGACTTTTAGTTCATAATTATGATTGTGAAAGTGAACAAACACTGAATGTTTTCATAGACTACTAATCTTTACTAAATTCTATTATTTACCATTAGAATTGGATGAAGTTATTTCAATTAAGAAAGACTAATCGTCTCAGTCTAGAAGATATTTGTGAACATCTACAATTAAATATTGGAGATGTGTAAGTCATTAACCAGTTTTTTATTATTTTTGTATCTCACATTGAAAAATATTCACATATTATCTATTTACACAAATCGTGTTGGAAGGATTATGGTGAATGTGAGAAATTCACGTGAATGTTTTCAGTTCATGTTGCATTAGTCAAGATATTACTTCTATCGGGAAATGACAATGATGTTCTCTACGACGATAATCAAAGCTTCATAATCTCAAAATATCTAGCTCACTAGATAGAACACATCTCAAACTAATAATTTCTCCAATTGAAAATTTAAAATATCATAATCTCATCTTAAAATAGATTATTTGCTTTGTGCTCAGATTAATGCTGTCTATTCTTCTGACTAAGTTAAATCTATGCCTAATATTGTGTACATGTAATCATCTCTTTCCAAATTCAGTCATCTGAGCAAGGGAGTGAACAAGTCAATTATGTGTATAAGACGTTTATCATTCTTCAGTTAGGATTTAGGTGTTTTCACAGTTTCATGAATCTCAAACCGACCATTCAACATTTACCTCGACAAATTATTCACCTACGTCGTTCACTCAGAATAAGATAGTTTCAAATATGAATTGGGTTAATAAACAAATTAGAAGTGCAACAAACCCATATGTTGTTGGATCATAACGACCATCTATTCAGATTCACAATCATGTTACCGACTGACAATGATATATAGATTCAAGACCTTGTGTTGACTAACACTGAGTTGAATACATATGTGACTTAAGCATAGATCGTTGTAATATCACTTGTTGTATTGCTTGTATTCATAAATAATTCATCGTGTTCTTTCACTCATTTACATTTTTAAAATATGTGTACTTGTTTGTGTCAGCTTGTCTATATCGACCTTGTCTGTCTGAACTATATAAGCTGTGATACAAAATTCAATAAGCAATACGGTACAAACCAATTTCATACGCCTGCATGGTTATCTTCCGCTACATGAATGCATGAAATAAAATCTTCTAGATAAATTTCATAATCGACTTTTACATATCACCGTTGTACAATTGGGGTTAGCCAAAGTGTTTCGTAGGAAACGGAATTTATTTCATTTTCATCAATTATGGTTTGCATAGTGCCTACCATTGCACGTTCTGTGTTCGGAACAAATCATTCGCAACATTCGTCCATTGTTTGATTAGTTGTGTTGTACTACTTGTTGAACTACTTCGTTTCTAGGAAAATTGTTTTCCTCTCATTTGTTTTAGTCGTCGACAAAGAAGTACACAACTAAAATCAGCCGAAAATTCATTATCATCCTACACTGATAATCAACGGGTACTTGGAAATGATGTACAGGTGATCGTTGATCAGATGCCAATGGATATGAAATTAAAAATTACAAATGAATTTAGAAAACTAATCACAGATAATGTTGATTTCAATGGACTAAAATTTACAGAATATATGAAACAGTTTATGGATAAAAATTTCTCTTCATCTTGGGTTGTGCTAATTGTCAAAGGTTCATATTCAACTACATTTTTGCATCTTGAGGATTGTGCATTTCAATTTCGTTTGAATAATTACAGTTTTGTTGTTTGGAGAACATTTTTTGGATTTAATTAGGTTTTAATTTTATTTCCCACAGTTATAACATTAGTAAGTAATGAGACACTGTTGTCATAATTCTTGAAAGTAAAGTGTATATTCAGTTTGCTTACTATTAACAATAAATTATCTTTGGTTCTGGTATAATCTCAGTTCGTCAGATTCTGCTACTCATATATGCTGTTTTTGTATGCGCGCTCAAACTAGCTAACATGGGTGAGAAAAACAGAAGTGAGTAGGAAGCTTCCATTGTGTAACCGGGTGGAAAACATATTCACAGCTCATTCATAGATGCAGATATCTGTTTCGCTAAATGGGATCGTGACACAAATCTTATCTCTGTCATTACCTCTCACTTATGTTTGGACCGATTAGCCAACCGTATGGAGTTCACTGGACTAAATTTCCACTTGAACGTGAATACTTTATCTAGTGATATAATAATTATTAGAATTTCTATATGTTCGTTTACATTGATAATTCATATTTTGCGATTTACAAAAACATTTCCCAATGAAGTGCTTATAAATGTGAGTTCGCAATGAACGAACTCGGAAATATTCAAATAAATAGTGAAAAATCAGCCTTCCCGATGTGGATTTTACCATATACTGATTTCCTTTGGAGTGATAGTGAAAGATTCGCACTATAAAAACAAATCATTGGTTTCTAATGAATTGGTAACAGTGAGCATCATCAGTTCAGGATCATGTTAATGTCCATCAACACAAAAATATTACTAAATACAACTAGTCCCCGTTTGCATCCACTTCTTCAAGAGCAACATAAGAAATGGAGTCAGATCAGTTGTATTCTGCATCAGTGGATCATGACAGATCGTCCAGCAGTCGCTTTCGAATAAAGCATTCAAATACAAATAGGGAATAATGAGAACTGTGCTCTTAGAAATAATACTGAACATTTAACCTTGACCAAGTAGAACTTCGAGTCGATTCTCATCGAATATCACTTATAAAACACTGTTTAAGAAAAATCTTCAGATCCGTTAGGGGAATGTTTACATCAGAAACCGTATCAAAACCTTTCCCATTAGAACATTTGTTATTTGAGCATATATGCACTGATTCGCATAAATGTCACGAGGTATTCGTGATCACTCTTAATTAGGAAAGTGATTCTCAGAGAATTTCAGTTGTTCACTAGTTTGCCCTAAATCAAAACACCTGTATATGTTATTGTAAGCTGAAAAGTAGGTTTTTTGAGTGCATGTTGAAAACAGTAATTTAAGCTACAATTCACATATTTGTGATCATTTATCATGATCAAATGACGTTATAATTTAGAAGAGGGTAACTACTCGTGCTTCTTTGAAGTCTGTGTGTTGATCGGTACCGAATCATTGAGAAGATAACATGTGGATATTGATCAACATATATTTGAGTGTAGTGATGTTTACACACATGATATAGATTCCAGATGTTGCTGATTTCAATTTATTTAGCCAATATTGAAACTTCGGTTTCTTTGTTCCAATGAAACTGAAGTGTTGATAAAAATATCAGGTGAGTTTTGGTAGCTTTTATGTTTATTTATTCACTCTATATAATTAGGGATTGTAAATTATTCTGGTTTTTTAAAGATTTATGATCCATCGATTGAATGCAGTAATTACTGAGTTTGTTCAATCTCAATTAATTTACTGTCGATTACTAGCACACATGACATAGACATCACTCACACCACTAAATTGGAGTTCTATGAAAACTTGGAAGTGTCCGGTTGTGTATCTTCTCGACTCTACACTTCACCATAAATCCATAACACACTGAATACTATTTAGTTATATTTTTGATAATACGGGTTCTCTTTATCAGTAGGAGTTGAGTTTCTCGTGATTAGAGTCAATTCGATGGACGAGCACTACACACTATTGTTTATGAGGAGAAAACTGAAACTATTCACGGATTGTTCAAAATTTACGAATAAACAAACTAGGACATTACATTGGGTGATGTAGTGAACGGTGTTTTAGAGCATTGTTGTACATCATCGAAATACCACAGAATCCATTTCGACCTATCACTTTGAGACTCACATCTCGGTTCATCTGCTATTGTGAAGCAGGATGGATAAGCTGGTTATTGAGGACATTTCCTGACTCACCAATAATTGAATAACAAGGCACAGTTGGCAAATCTATCTATTCCGTAATACGTAGTTGACCATTACCACGTACTATAAAACATATAACTTCAAATGTATGTATATATATATCAGTATCAAAGAGATGTGTTTTACTCATGCCCTCTCTTCTCATCTTCACTTTACATGAAATCTCACTCATCTCTGCTCATTACATCAGAATATATTCTATTGAAATTCATTGGTCTCATCGTATTTACCACTTCTAATACGATTAAATGATCAAAGTCAATTGATTTCCATTGTTGTTGTCAATGGCTTTCATTCAACTAATTAAATGTAACAACTGATGTGACACAAATAGGATGAAGGCACGTCGTGCATTCCTCCATTATCCACTCACAAAACATACTATTATCCTGATAGCTTAAACGAAGTTGAAATGATGGATGTGTAAAATATAATGCAGCTACTTAGTTCAGATGCATCAATAATGTTTTCGATTATTTTAGAATGCTTCTAGTGCTCGATGTTCAAGTCAGTCAGCGATAAGTATGCCACGAATTAACAATGTAGGAACTGGCACAACGACAAAACAGATAAGACGAGAAGTCAGTCCTGAGAGCATTAAAAATCCTTCGGACAGCTCGTTAATCCGAATTGAAATACGTATCGAAAGTGCTTATTAGGGTGAGACTACACATTAATGTTCCACACAAATCCACAGTTATCAAACAATTGAGATTCTAGGTTACTAGTCATTAAGAACTCAGCTATGTGTGAATTTGTTGTCCCTCAATATATTGATCAATTTGATGTTTTAATTTTCATAAAATCCTGATAGACTTTGAATAGTCGTCTACCCTGTTTTACGCGGTGATCATTAATGCATATGTTCACTGTGATTTTATTTTCTCGACTAAGGCTGCCTAGGTGGACAGCGACCAGTGTTGATAAATTAGTATTCTTCTCTCAATCCATACAAACCATACTTTTAATACGTATTTTTTTATAGTGAAAAAATGCGAAGAAATACAATTCAACAACATTCAGCATTGTTTAAACTTGGCTCAGACATTGAATACATTTCTGGCGATATGATGTTACCACAACAAATCAATGTCAGCAATGAAGCTAGAAAATTATATCAAGAATATGAATGCGACAATAAAATATCGATTGCTACAAAGCTTAAAGAATTTCTAGATAGAACATTTGGTAGGTCATGGCATGTTACGGTAGTGGATGGTTCCTTTGCCAGTTCATATACACAAGAGGTTAATACTTCATTTCACTTTAAAATGAAAAATCTTTGTTATCTTATATGGAAAACACCAGAGTACATAGATGAATAATTGATAAAATGGTTTCAGTAATAAATGTATTCAAGCAGTAAAAACGCGATTTTAAATATTCAAAGCGAATCTCGGAAGTTCTTCGTTGAAGACATTCATTATTACACGAGTAACTAAGTGGGAGAATAGTTCATATTCAGAGTTACACATGAAGAAACCGTTAAGAACGATGAGTACGACGTAGATATCACTAAAACAATGAGTCATTAGCACTCGTTTCAGTAGTGGATTACAAAACGTATTTCATTAAATGAAATGAATGGGAATCCACGTAAATATTTAACCAGTGAAAGTTCTGAAATAAAGGCTGGAGAAATAATAGTCAATGACACGACACTACTATAGAAGGAAACATCATGGTACATTTAATTAGTTGAATGAAGGCCATTGACAACAACAATGGAAATCAATTGACTTTGATCATTTAATCGTATTAGAAGTGGTAAATACGATGAGACCAATGAATTTCAATAGAATATATTCTGATGTAATGAGCAGAGATGAGTGTGATTGCATGTAAAGTGAAGATGAGAAGAGAGGGCATGAGTAAAACACATCTCTTTGATACTGATATATATATACATACATTTAAAGTTATATGTTTTATAGTACGTGGTAATGGTCAACTACGTATTACGGAATAGATAGATTTGCCAACTGTGCCTTGTTATTCAATTATTGGTGAGTCAGGAAATGTCCTCAATAACCAGCTTATCCATCCTGCTTCATAATAGCAGATGAACCGAGATGTGAGTCTCAAAGTGATAGGTCGAAATGGATTCTGTGGTATTTCGATGATGTACAACAATGCTCTAAAACACCGTTCACTACATCACCCAATGTAATGTCCTAGTTTGTTTATTCGTAAATTTTGAACAATCCGTGAATAGTTTCAGTTTTCTCCTCATAAACAATAGTGTGTAGTGCTCGTCCATCGAATTGACTCTAATCACGAGAAACTCAACTCCTACTGATAAAGAGAACCCGTATTATCAAAAATATAACTAAATAGTATTCAGTGTGTTATGGATTTATGGTGAAGTGTAGAGTCGAGAAGATACACAACCGGACACTTCCAAGTTTTCATAGAACTCCAATTTAGTGGTGTGAGTGATGTCTATGTCATGTGTGCTAGTAATCGACAGTAAATTAATTGAGATTGAACAAACTCAGTAATTACTGCATTCAATCGATGGATCATAAATCTTTAAAAAACCAGAATAATTTACAATCCCTAATTATATAGAGTGAATAAATAAACATAAAAGCTACCAAAACTCACCTGATATTTTTATCAACACTTCAGTTTCATTGGAACAAAGAAACCGAAGTTTCAATATTGGCTAAATAAATTGAAATCAGCAACATCTGGAATCTATATCATGTGTGTAAACATCACTACACTCAAATATATGTTGATCAATATCCACATGTTATCTTCTCAATGATTCGGTACCGATCAACACACAGACTTCAAAGAAGCACGAGTAGTTACCCTCTTCTAAATTATAACGTCATTTGATCATGATAAATGATCACAAATATGTGAATTGTAGCTTAAATTACTGTTTTCAACATGCACTCAAAAAACCTACTTTTCAGCTTACAATAACATATACAGGTGTTTTGATTTAGGGCAAACTAGTGAACAACTGAAATTCTCTGAGAATCACTTTCCTAATTAAGAGTGATCACGAATACCTCGTGACATTTATGCGAATCAGTGCATATATGCTCAAATAACAAATGTTCTAATGGGAAAGGTTTTGATACGGTTTCTGATGTAAACATTCCCCTAACGGATCTGAAGATTTTTCTTAAACAGTGTTTTATAAGTGATATTCGATGAGAATCGACTCGAAGTTCTACTTGGTCAAGGTTAAATGTTCAGTATTATTTCTAAGAGCACAGTTCTCATTATTCCCTATTTGTATTTGAATGCTTTATTCGAAAGCGACTGCTGGACGATCTGTCATGATCCACTGATGCAGAATACAACTGATCTGACTCCATTTCTTATGTTGCTCTTGAAGAAGTGGATGCAAACGGGGACTAGTTGTATTTAGTAATATTTTTGTGTTGATGGACATTAACATGATCCTGAACTGATGATGCTCACTGTTACCAATTCATTAGAAACCAATGATTTGTTTTTATAGTGCGAATCTTTCACTATCACTCCAAAGGAAATCAGTATATGGTAAAATCCACATCGGGAAGGCTGATTTTTCACTATTTATTTGAATATTTCCGAGTTCGTTCATTGCGAACTCACATTTATAAGCACTTCATTGGGAAATGTTTTTGTAAATCGCAAAATATGAATTATCAATGTAAACGAACATATAGAAATTCTAATAATTATTATATCACTAGATAAAGTATTCACGTTCAAGTGGAAATTTAGTCCAGTGAACTCCATACGGTTGGCTAATCGGTCCAAACATAAGTGAGAGGTAATGACAGAGATAAGATTTGTGTCACGATCCCATTTAGCGAAACAGATATCTGCATCTATGAATGAGCTGTGAATATGTTTTCCACCCGGTTACACAATGGAAGCTTCCTACTCACTTCTGTTTTTCTCACCCATGTTAGCTAGTTTGAGCGCGCATACAAAAACAGCATATATGAGTAGCAGAATCTGACGAACTGAGATTATACCAGAACCAAAGATAATTTATTGTTAATAGTAAGCAAACTGAATATACACTTTACTTTCAAGAATTATGACAACAGTGTCTCATTACTTACTAATGTTATAACTGTGGGAAATAAAATTAAAACCTAATTAAATCCAAAAAATGTTCTCCAAACAACAAAACTGTAATTATTCAAACGAAATTGAAATGCACAATCCTCAAGATGCAAAAATGTAGTTGAATATGAACCTTTGACAATTAGCACAACCCAAGATGAAGAGAAATTTTTATCCATAAACTGTTTCATATATTCTGTAAATTTTAGTCCATTGAAATCAACATTATCTGTGATTAGTTTTCTAAATTCATTTGTAATTTTTAATTTCATATCCATTGGCATCTGATCAACGATCACCTGTACATCATTTCCAAGTACCCGTTGATTATCAGTGTAGGATGATAATGAATTTTCGGCTGATTTTAGTTGTGTACTTCTTTGTCGACGACTAAAACAAATGAGAGGAAAACAATTTTCCTAGAAACGAAGTAGTTCAACAAGTAGTACAACACAACTAATCAAACAATGGACGAATGTTGCGAATGATTTGTTCCGAACACAGAACGTGCAATGGTAGGCACTATGCAAACCATAATTGATGAAAATGAAATAAATTCCGTTTCCTACGAAACACTTTGGCTAACCCCAATTGTACAACGGTGATATGTAAAAGTCGATTATGAAATTTATCTAGAAGATTTTATTTCATGCATTCATGTAGCGGAAGATAACCATGCAGGCGTATGAAATTGGTTTGTACCGTATTGCTTATTGAATTTTGTATCACAGCTTATATAGTTCAGACAGACAAGGTCGATATAGACAAGCTGACACAAACAAGTACACATATTTTAAAAATGTAAATGAGTGAAAGAACACGATGAATTATTTATGAATACAAGCAATACAACAAGTGATATTACAACGATCTATGCTTAAGTCACATATGTATTCAACTCAGTGTTAGTCAACACAAGGTCTTGAATCTATATATCATTGTCAGTCGGTAACATGATTGTGAATCTGAATAGATGGTCGTTATGATCCAACAACATATGGGTTTGTTGCACTTCTAATTTGTTTATTAACCCAATTCATATTTGAAACTATCTTATTCTGAGTGAACGACGTAGGTGAATAATTTGTCGAGGTAAATGTTGAATGGTCGGTTTGAGATTCATGAAACTGTGAAAACACCTAAATCCTAACTGAAGAATGATAAACGTCTTATACACATAATTGACTTGTTCACTCCCTTGCTCAGATGACTGAATTTGGAAAGAGATGATTACATGTACACAATATTAGGCATAGATTTAACTTAGTCAGAAGAATAGACAGCATTAATCTGAGCACAAAGCAAATAATCTATTTTAAGATGAGATTATGATATTTTAAATTTTCAATTGGAGAAATTATTAGTTTGAGATGTGTTCTATCTAGTGAGCTAGATATTTTGAGATTATGAAGCTTTGATTATCGTCGTAGAGAACATCATTGTCATTTCCCGATAGAAGTAATATCTTGACTAATGCAACATGAACTGAAAACATTCACGTGAATTTCTCACATTCACCATAATCCTTCCAACACGATTTGTGTAAATAGATAATATGTGAATATTTTTCAATGTGAGATACAAAAATAATAAAAAACTGGTTAATGACTTACACATCTCCAATATTTAATTGTAGATGTTCACAAATATCTTCTAGACTGAGACGATTAGTCTTTCTTAATTGAAATAACTTCATCCAATTCTAATGGTAAATAATAGAATTTAGTAAAGATTAGTAGTCTATGAAAACATTCAGTGTTTGTTCACTTTCACAATCATAATTATGAACTAAAAGTCAATAGGACCGTAGTGATTATAAATTGCTTTGACTTTGAGATGTACTCAAACTGCATAATGCACAATAATTTCAATGAACAAGTGAAATAATTGATATAACTGGATAGTCTAGATCTCAGTTTGCGTTATGAAGTGTTTTTTGATTCAATAACTCGATAATAGTGTATTCGCTGGGTGATCTACATGTGATGAGTGTTTCTCTCGCATTAGGTTGTGGACTCATAACTCAGACACATTTGTTCTCTCCAACATCATTTCAAATTACAATTTCTCAATAACACCTCCTCAATGATTTTCTGTATTCTACAAACCAAGATTTGTGCTTATTGATACCTTTCTTCAAAAATCATTGAACAAAATTCAGTTTACTAGAAGCCAGTTCTAGGCATAGACCT